ACGAAAGCAAGAATGTGCTGCAGTCGCCGGGAGAACGGATTAGCTTGTGCGTTGCGTAACGCGGCCGACGATCCAACGGGGTGCTCGTCGTAAGGGGATTTGCTGGGTTAAGTAACGGATCTTGACCCCTTGGTGCAACTTTGAAGGATCTGGAGCTCAAACTGCATTCGAAATAGAAATTTAAACGAAACTAGACTATGAACTATTTTCTTTTTTTATTTTACCGGGTAAGGCCCACTGCTCTGTAGAGCTATTTTTTTCAGACGCGACCTGGCCACAAATGATTTGCTCAAAGAAGTGGCTTATCACTATGTGGAAATGTATAGCAGCCACATACTCTCAACGCGTGTTTCTAATTGTGGAGGGAAAAACCGGGGGACCCGGAGAAGAATCCACGTTACCACGGGGAGAGAAACACGCAAACTCCAAATATACAGGGTTCGAACCCACGAGCCTCCTGTATATCAGGCGAGGTAGTCAACATCTCGCCACTGTAACACCGCAAATTGCACGGTGCTGAACGCTGGACGGTGTATCCTCCGTCGAAATTCTGGGGACCCCCACCACGTCGGTATTCGTGGTCGTTTCCGGGGTCGTAGCATATTTTGTTTGACGTCAATTCAGTTCCCGAAGATGCTTCCCGGCACGCGCGGCGAAACGTCGGACTTCGTGCCGAACAGCACGCGCTGCAGACATCGGAGCGCTGCAGACATCAGAGCGCTACATTTGCCGAGAGCGTAAAAAAGCGGGGCGATGCATCGCCTCCTTCGCATATCTGTCACTTCACGTAAAAAAAATGTTAAGTGTTTTTTTTATTCGAAATTGGCATCGTTTGGGTTAGATCGTGTACGCATAATGTCTATTCTTTACCTATAACCCTCCACCACCTGACAGAGCCAATCAAATCAAGTTGTCACGTCGGCACATACGGCAATCGACTTGGGTTTTTCAGCGAACTGGAATGTTGAAAGTCAAGCAAACATTTTACACTTTTATTCAATGCATACAATTGTGTGTCAACTCTTCCGCTACGCAAATTACATTAATCGCCTTCAATCCAGCCTCGTGAAGGCTTCTTTAGACCATTTCTGTTTATACAACGCACCTCCGATAAGCACGGTTGGCTAGATATGGTGCGAAAGAAGTTTAACATACATGCAATGTGCAGTCATGAATATTATTTTAAATATGGGATCATGTAAGTATATAATTTGAACTTCTTTCCCACCGTACATAGCCAACCGCGCTATGAGCACTGTATGTTACTTGCATACACGGAAACCTTAGCTTAGCAACTTATGTAACGGGAGTCTCAAACTTGCACTTTGCAGCAGACACAACAGAATAAATTAATTTGAGCAAGTTCTGTAAAACGATGGGAAACTCATCAGACTGAAACTCGTATGTGTGTAGGCTATCCCGAAATCAGCTTTGCTGTGATTAGCAGACACGGCAGTAAATATATAAATGTGTCGTGAAACCCGCCACCACCCGACACAGCCGATTAGTAAGGTCTGTCACGTAAACATAACGTGCCAATTCGTTACTCGCACAGCACACCGGTGTGTTGGAGAGTAAATACACAACACTTTAGTACAGCACATTTATATTTACGCCATCTAACCATTAAAAAAAGCTGTATTGTGGATGATCTTGGTCGCGAAAGCCTACTAGGTGTTAAACAGACACGGCAGTGTAAATAATAACCTTTGGTTGGCTGGTGACGGGAGTTAAACTGTCCAATAGGAGTCTTATAATACTACATTATAACTTCTCGCTGTATGATTTATGAATCGCATCTGTCTCGACCTCTTGAGTTTCATGAATGCAAACTATGTAATATTGGAGTGCTGCGCACTTGCCAGAACGTCTCTAAAAATGCAGTCGTGAATGAAACAAATCGATCAACAAGATGCGAAGTAATAATAACACAGTGACAATCTTCACCCCTTTATAAATCCACTGCTGAATGAATGCTTCTCAAAGCCGTGTCCATTGCAGGAGGTCGTTTGACCGTGCTTCGTAGCGATGCTCAGTGTGGGTCGGCGCAGGAGGGGGGGGCAGGACCGGGTTGGTTTGGCTTTCACTCGCCACCGATATCAGCTGCTGCGAGGGATCGAACTCAGCTCACCGGCTTAGTGACGCAGTGCGCAACGCTGTACCACCACTCCAGCCCTGGCTTAGTGGCGCAGTGCGCAACGCTGTACCACCACTCCACCCCTGGCTTAGTAGCACAGTGCGCAACGCTGTACCACCACTCCACCCCTGGCTTAGTAGCACAGTGCGCAACGCTGTACCACCACTCCACCCCTGGATTAGTGGCACAGTGCTCAGCGCCGTTCCACCACTCCACCCCTGGATTAGTGGCACAGTGCTCAGCGCTGTACCACCACTCTACCCCTGGCTTAGTGACGCAGTGCTCAGCGCTGTACCACCACTCCACCCCTTGCTTAGTGGCGCAGTGCGCAACGCTGTACCACCACTCCACCCCTTGCTTAGTGGCGCAGTGCGCAACACTGTACCACCACTCCACCCCTGGCTTAGTGGGACAGTGCTCAGCGCCGTGCCACTATTTCGCATCTGTATCTCTTTTTCACGTCACGTGCGTACAGTTTTGGGTGTACCCTCTCATCCTAATTACAACGTCGGCAAGTTATCTGCAAATGACGTGCGTGCATTTAAAATTATTCCTCTCTGCGCGCACAATTCGATGCATGTCTCTCGAACATAAGAACCGATTTTCATCGACATGCATCGATGCATCCCTTACATCCGTGCTTCATTATCACGCAGTGTCAAGCGGGTGTCATTTTAACACATCGTCAGGAACACGACAGTGCGCAAACGTGCTCTTCATGAACCAGGCGGCCCGGCCAGATTTGCGCGAAAGTGTGTTCATTTTTGTTATAATACTTCTGTTATCCGTTTCTTCAGCAGCTTATCCCGGCAGACGATGGGCTCCTCGCAATCTCTGCTCTGAGATCGACGCCTGGCTTATCAGGTGTGGGTAGAATCCGCCAGACGCGGCTGAGAAATAACGCGTGCTACGCGGTTCTCATCATTTCAAGGAATAAAAAAAAACCCCAACCTGTTTGAGTCTAATCTTAGAAAGGCGAGCTAAAAATTACCGCCGGGCCCTTTCGTTCTCAACTCGGGTCCACTCCGCTCCGCTTCTAATTTCCAAATAAAGCCACACGCGTTCGGCGCGTTGGCAGGAGAACGCCGTGCGGAGGAGGTCGGCCGCGTCCCCGGCGTTCCAACGTTCGCGATGATTTACGTGAAGCGACGCTCGTGCGGACTACTTTTATATGAGGAGCGGGGCAACTTTGGTGGCTCAGAAGCACCAGGCTTGTGTCTATGACGCATGCTGGAGCCGGCACTATTTTTTGACCCCGCGGTGGCTAGGAGATGTTAACCACCTCGCCCGGTGTACAGGAGGTCGTGAGTTCGATCCCGACCCTGACGCCTGCTGCTGGATATTTGAAGTTTGCATCTCTCTCTCTCTCCCAGTGGTCACGTGGATTTTTCTCTTGAGGCCTCCTGGTATTTGCCTCCATATTGAGAAACATGCTTTGAGAGTATTTGGCTGCTATCAATTTCCACGTGATAAGCCACGTCGTCGAGGTATAGTTTGTGGCCAGGTCGCTTCTAAAAAAAAAAGAGCAGTATAGCCCAAACATTTTTTAACAGTAGTCCTGGACTAAAATCCTGCGATTTATGATTTCTGCTGAGATTGAAAAAGAACAGGTTTTCCCGTGCCCCAAGTTCGGAGTCAGAACATGTTGCTCAGAAAACCCACCGTGACAAAACTGATGTTGCTCATTTCTGAAATGTCGCATGACGAGAACCATTTACTGTTTCCGCAGCTGCAGAGATCAGTACAGGCGGTGTGCGGAATGGTGGCGCAGCGGTACGCGCACTATGCTACGAACCCACGGGTGACCTGAGTCTGATTTATGGCCGTGCCTAACATCAGTGGCGAGTGTCGCCTGAGCTGGTTCTGGGCTGTCTCCTTCAGCAACGTGCATTGATCGGTGTGGTGAAGTTTGGTCAAACAACCCCCCCCCCCCTCCCAATGGCCGACATGGCGTGCAGGTGCTGTCATCCAGCAGCGGATTTGCAAGGGGATGAAAGTTATAATCGTAAAGACAGAAGGAAGACAACGCCTGGGTTGATATCGGCTTGTCGTTTCAAATCGAGATGTTTTAACTGCCTAGACGTTTCAGAAAATACTAAACAGAGTTGCTTCAGTGTAACTTAATATGTATACATTATTCGTTTACTTACTTATATTATAAAATATAGACTCGGGTTTTGCGTCGAACTCGGACCCATATCTAACAGAGGAGGTCGTTGCCGATCAACATCTGGGCAGTTCACCAGCTTTGTTTTCAAGGAGGCCTGACTGCTGATGAGACACCGAGCAGTCGGGAACCGGTGCCGAATGTTGCTTGTGTTGCTGCCGAAATGTTGCAGTCTCAGAAGGGTCGTGTGGCTGACGGGATGTGTAAAACACAAACGAAACAAGAAGTTGATTATGCGAGTAAATAACCCATTGAACTACTCGGCTCTTTTTCAAGGGCGTGGAAGGATACAAGCTGGTGTAGAGATGTGGGGTGTTACAGTCTGCTTTTGTATTTATGTTTACTCATCACAAGATGATCAACAACAACAGCCATTCGCCACCAAGTGGCGATGACGTCTCCGTGGCGCTTGTGCCAGGCCAGGTGCATGCATCACAGCTGTCAACCCATACGGTTTACCCCGTATTCTTGTGCAGGGAAATTCAGTTTTCAGGTCCATACGGCGTGCAGCCGTTTAGATACGGGCAATATTTTTTGCCTATTTGTGTTTAGTTTGTGTTTAGCATAGTAGTGTAGTATAGTAGTATACTATAGTAGCGTGATGGGACTTTGTAGGATTACGGTTGAGATGTATAAGGGGCACGGGGTGATCAATAAGGTGTGAATTTGTCTATAACAAGGTAGGGCACTGATAAGGGGTTGACAGGTATGATAGTGTAGTGGTATAGTAGTATACTATAGTAGCCTGATGGGACTTTGTAGGATGAACGTTGAGATGTATAAGGGGCACGGGCTGACCAACAATGTGTGAATTTGTCTGTAACGAGGTTGGGGCACTGATTCGGGGCTTCCAGGTATGATGCACTTCGAGGCCCAATAGGGGAAGTGCCGAGGGGGACCGCCTCCGCTCAGACATCCGCCTCTGCCCTCTAGTGGCAATCTCCCTCCAACGCGCCCGCTTCGAGCAAGGCATGGAAGAGGAGGGGGTGGTGCACGTTGCCTGCATCCCCCGCCCGCCTCTCGCCCTCTCTCAGCAGCCTCGCCAATGGGACGGCAGAAAGCGCCACCACCCCAACGCTCTTGAAACAGCGAGCGGGATGGGTGCGGGCTGCGAAGGGAGTGGTGTGGAGGAGGGAGAGAGTCTGGCGGCGGTGGCGGTGGTGATGATGATGATGAAGCCACCACCCCCACCACAGGTTACCGCCCAGTTAGTCAACTTGGGTTGTGATCAGAGAGGTGGGTGAGGAGGAGGAGGAGGACACACACACAGAGAGAGAGAGAAACTGTGAATGTTAAACGGGGAAGTTCTGTAGGAGGCGTGTCATCGCTGAGAGTGAAGTGAGTGCGGGGCAGAGTTTATTTTTTTTGCTGCTGCTGCTGTTGTTAACTTCGATCGCTGCTACGCCGCTGTTGCAGTCGGCTCGCGTGGATTTTAAGTCCGAGGTAAGTGCGCACCCCCCAGCCGCACGCCCCACCGCAGAGTCGCGTGGCTCGGGATTGACTCGGGTGAAGGTGACACCACACAGCTCGTGGCCGGCTCTCCTCCGTCTCCTCGCCCGTGGCGGCTGCACGTGCACGAGGAGCCTTAACGCCCCAAACACAATTGTCGAGGGTTTACCGACTCCGAGCCACGGCGACGAAATCCGCCCCCCACCCCCCCCCCCACGTGTTGGACGGTGTTGCTATACCCCCTGGTCGGGTGTGAACAGCGGGTTTGCTGTGAGCACCACAGCGCGTGTTCACCTTGGCCACGTTGTGCACTGCCTGGAGCCTGTCTTGAATGCGTCCCTGCGAGCCTACGAGTCGCTGTGTGTCAGAGTCTCTACGTCTCTATGGGTCTCTCTATGAGTGTGCATCTATGTATGTCCATGGATCTCTGAGTCTATATCTCTGAGTGTGTATGCGTTTATGTACTGAGTGCATCTCTAGGAGTCTCTATGTATCTGAGTTTATGTACCACCTGAGTCTGAATCTCTGAGTCTCTGTATCTGAAGTTTACGTACCAACTGAAGTGTGTATCTCTACGAGTCGCTGGTTTACCAAGTTTACCCTGCGCCCCGTGGTTGGTGAGACACGGGGGGGGAGTGAGGGAGTTTGTGTGCTCACAACCACCCGTGCCCCGGGGCTCTGCCGATGCACTCACTCCACTCACTGTTGCCAAGTCGTTCAACTCATTAATACACATACGACGCCGCTTGTATGCTTCGTGGGGGTTGTGATTTCGTTTAAAAAAAAAACTTTTACCCCAACCCCTTGCGTATGCTCCTCGCTGTCAAAGTACACTGTTTGGTATCTTGTATTTACAATTCACGGACCAGCAAGCCATCATAGGATCCGTGCCCCAACCATTCAAACTACTCAATCTACACCGGTGGTTCTTTCACCTTGAGCGCATCATTCGAACCCCTTTGCGTCTGAATCGTTAAAACGTGTTATTTTTTTACAATGTTTAATCAGCACACAGGGTTCTAAACTCACGTACCCGTGCTTAATTTGCGTTCTCGATTATTTCCCTTTTGAAAAATGATTTGGCCATGAGAATAGGTTTTCCCCTTTTCCCCAAAAGGCGTCTTTTGGCGTCCTCTGGTCTAACATCGGTTTGAGACGAGGCTTCAAAGAAAGCTGTCGCTGGTGTGGACCAATCAGTTTTAAAGACAAGGCATCATATTATCAGAGTGTGTTTTTTGTTTGCATTCCGACCACAAGTATTGTGGTTAATGCAGACATGATTCCTTGTAAAAGGTTTCAGTTTGGTGCTTTAACATCTTAACACAGCTGTTTTCTTGCCAGAAAAAGGGGAAAATCTATTCTCATATTTTGGTACTGGCGAAGGAAGTCCCATGATGATTTGGTCGTGTCTCGCAAACCCCCCCGCCACCAGAAAGGGCATCTCGCACCCCGAGGGGTAGGGAGATGCACCCCCAGGGGGTGCGAGATGCACCCCCAGGGGGTAGGGAGATGCACCCCCAGGGGTAGGGAGATGCACCCTCAGGGGTAGGGAGATGCACCCCCAAGGGTAGGGAGATGCACCCCCTGGGGGTAGCGAGATGCACCCCCTGGGGGTGCGAGATGCACCCCCTGGGGGTGCGAGATGCACCCCCTGGGGGTGCGAGTGCACCCCCAGGGGTAGCGAGATGCACCCCTAGGGGGTAGCGAGATGCACCCCCACGGGGTAGGGAGATGCACCCCCTGGGGGTAGCGAGATGCACCCCCTGGGGGTGCGAGATGCACCCCCAGGGGGTAGCGAGATGCACCCCCACGGGGTAGCGAGATGCACCCCCACGGGGTAGCGAGATGCACCCCCTGGGGGTGCGAGATGCACCCCCAGGGGTAGCGAGATGCACCCCTAGGGGGTAGCGAGATGCACCCCCACGGGGTAGGGAGATGCACCCCCTGGGGGTAGCGAGATGCACCCCCTGGGGGTAGCGAGATGCACCCCCACGGGGTAGCGAGATGCACCCCCTGGGGGTAGCGAGATGCACCCCCTGGGGGTGCGAGATGCACCCCCTGGGGGTGCGAGATGCACCCCCAGGGGTAGCGAGATGCACCCCTAGGGGGTAGCGAGATGCACCCCCACGGGGTAGGGAGATGCACCCCCTGGAGTGCGAGATGCACCCCCTGGGGGTAGCGAGATGCACCCCCAGGGGGTAGGGAGATGCACCCCCTGGTTAAGAACCCAATCACTGCCTCCGAGATGTTCGAAGAGCGCTCGTTTAGCGTCACGTCGTGACTGAAGCAAGCTGCGCGGCGCGAGCACTGAAGAAGAAGGGGTCCGTCGCGCCGAAACGTCGTCCGTCATGTGTGCTCGTTTATTTTTAATTCACTTGTAACAGCTCCAGAGTTCCTGGCGAGATTGCGTTGAGATTCGGTGCTCTTTGCTTTCGCCACTACTGCCATCATCACCACCACCACCACCGAGTTCTATATTTGTTTAATATTTGTTTCATACTGCAACTGTTTTCTTTGTTTATCAACACACAGCGTTGTTTGGCTTATGAGATCATTTGTCTATTACAGTGGTGAGATCCATCGCTTCGTTACGAGAGCTTGGCGTGTGTGTGTGCTTTTCAAAAAGTGTCCTTGTAGTGTTTTTTTTACAGGGGGGGGGGGGGGCTGGGGGTGGACTGCGTTCTGTACGATACGTGGGGTTTAGACCGCAGTACTGAATGTACCGTTGTACAGTAATTGGTATTCTTTAATTGTGGTTCAATAATGATTGATATTTGGGAAGGTTTCCATACAGTTTTTTGCTGCACACTGTTAGGCACGTGTGTGTGTGTGGTTTAGTAGAACATTGCTCGTGCATTATATATATTAAGTCAAGTGTATGTACACTTTGAAATTCGCGGTCAGCATACAGGTTCACGTTGTACGCCACTGCGTTGGGGGAGCGGTGGCGCAGTGGTTAGCGCACTGTTGCCGTGAACCACGAGGAGTTGGGTTCCCGGGACACGGCCCGCATCAGTGGCGAGTGATATCTGAAGAGGGTCTGCACCCCAACAAAAACAAAGATCCCCCGTGTAGCCTTCTCAGACTGTTGGGGCAAGTGCTGTTAGCGAGTAGCGCACCGATGAAGGCCGGCACGGCCCAGGGGAGGTGGCTGGGGGGTGGTGGCTAGCACCACGCCCGACCGCCTTTGTCTCCACAGTTCTAGCGATGTTTACTACACACCGCACCGGGTACTCATTTGACGCTGAGTAAACATAGGGGGAGGCCCATGACCGGTTCACATAATCGTCACCGGTGGTGGCCGTGAGCGGGAATCGAACTCGGGTTGACCACCCCCGCCCTTTACCCCTCCTACCCCTCCCTCGCCAACCTGTACTGACCGGTATGGTGAAGTATGGTAAAAAAAAAATCACCACGGGCGACATGGCGTGCGGAGGCCATTACAGTAATTATGATTTCCAACTTCATCTACTTCAATACATTATTCATTGTATTCGTGTCCTTACTGGCTGCGAACTCTTAAATAGACGCTCATCACTCAATATTCACTCCAGTGCCAAACGGACACCAATCATTCTCTGCTGCCCCTTTTGCCCACTTTTGCATTGCAGTCACCCATTACGATGCAACGCCCGAGTTGGAGATGGAGTAATGAAATCAGCTGGTGTTCAGTCGCTAGGTGGGTTACTATTACATGGTAGGGAAGGCCTTCATCCAGCTGTGGATTGATCGTGCATAATGATGATGAAGATGATGGCGATATTCTACCCAGGATTGTACAGGTGCCACGGTGGCGAGATGTTAACTTCGTCGCCCTGGTATACAGGAGGGTTCGTGAGTTCGACCCTGATGCCTGGTGTATATTTGGAGTTTGCATGTTCTCCCCGTGGTCGTGTGGATTTTTTTTCTCCGGGTTCTCGGGGTTTTCCCCTCCACACTTAGAATCAACGTGCGTTGAGAGTACGGTATTCGGCTGCTGTAAATGTCCACGTGATGATAAGCCACTTCGTTGAGCGATCCTTTGTGGCCCGGTCGCTTCTGAAAAAGTGCTGCGTAGCTCAAGTGGGGCCTTGGTAAAATAAAACAACTTTAGATTTATTTATTTTATCATGGGGAACTATGGGACACGCGGTGATTAGGACAGTTCACTTCATTGCCAGCAACGTGGGTTCCATTCTAAGCCGTGTGAGCAAGATTGTTATTTTAATTTTCGCTTAAACCTCCCCACGGCCGTCTCGGCCTAAACTTAGTGTCCAATCTGGTGCAATGTCAACATTAGCACTGGAGAGACAAAGGTGGATGGGCATACACCGCCGCCTGTTAATAACACTCCACCCCCAACCATCGTGTGCCACGCCGGTATTAATAGTAATTATATGTGCTCTCTCAGTTTCATTTGCCCAGGCTAAAAGGGGAATATTACCATATTCGTAAAAAGCTCCCAGAGCAAATTGACGCGCAGTAATGTTACGGCATCTGTGTGTGTGTGCGCGCATCGCGCAAAACGTAGCTTTGAACAAAGCAACAGGTCGTAATCATTGGGATGCCGTACCCAGTTTCACATTCGCTCCGGTTATAGTTCTGGCAAGTAGTACCCTTAAGTCGCTCAGATTGCGTTTCGGTGATACTCAAATAGCTCCGGCAAAGTGATTCGGGTAGGGCTGGCGGGACTGCATGGCGACCACCGAAGCCAGCCTGAGGCATAGCCGACAGGTCAGTTGTGCGCTGAGCTGGCCAGAAATGTGTGCAGGCAAGTTGCCAAAGCGTCTACTGCAACGTGGATGTGTGGCGTTGTCTCTTGAGCCAGCGCCACTGTTAGCATGGATGTGACGCTCTTACCCGCCCCGACTGGACATAGTTGAACAAGAGCTTCGTAGCTCATCGGATTCCTCCGGTGGAAATAAAGATTATGATTTGGTATGTTGAACTTCTTTCGCACCGTTCGTAGCACAGCCGCGTGCGTTGTGAAATCATACATTTCGCATTTGACAATA